AAATCCAGGGAGCACAGTTATTTTCTGGAATAGTTACTTAAAGGTAAAGAGGTAGTAGCTCCATCTGGCTATTGCATGGGGCATGTGGCATACTCAGAAAATGCTTATTAAATAGACTGCAAAAAGTCATGACGTGATTCCCACGTGCTGTAACCCCTACCTACATCACTGGGCTGTTTAGCATCACACACTAATGTTTAAATGTTTCTGATAGTGGCTGTAGGTAGTTATGCTAAACAACAAAAGTACAAAAATACTATGGATAATTTTTTTCCATTTACTTTTAACAACAGGTAAAATCCGCCAGTATTACAGAAAATAGCATTGGGAAATTATAAAGTCTGAAAATAGCTAATCATAAAAAAACCCACAAATTCACTTGACTGTGTTTTCTTGCCCCCCACCAAACAGTATTTGAAACATCCTGAATGTAACGGCATCATAAGAACTCAGAAAGCAGTATCTTTTTAACCCTTGAGCACTGGCTCCTGAAGAGAAGTTACAGTCAAGTGAAGCTTTAGAATTAGAGCGATACTATTTAAGGACACAGTGTAGCTTATTTTAAACTTTCTGCAAAGTATTGGGGGAACAAGGAGACAACAAAAACAGATGTTAGGTGGACTTTAAAATGAATAAGGTGGCCAGGCGTGATGGCTCACATCGGTAATCCTAGCACTCTGGGAGGCCAAGGCGGGTGGACGACCTGAGCTCACAGGTTCCAGACCAGCCTGAGCAAAAGAGCAAGATCCCATCTCTACGAAAAATAGAAAAACTGATGCAAGAGGATTGCTTGCATCCAAGAGTTGGAGGTTGCTGTGAGCTATGACACTATAGCACTCTACCCAGGGCAATGGTTTAAGACTCTATTTTAAATAAATAAATAAATAAAATGGATAAGGTGAGATAAGTGAATTTGTTTTTTCTCCCAAGCTTTAAAACAAACAAAACCCCAACCTGGATGTCTAAACCTTCAGTAGTGCCTTCTTTCTTGCCGTGTGAAGGCAAAATGCTGTCAGTGCCTGGGTCCTCTATAGTCTGGACCACACAGCACAGACATGCTTGCTCCCCATCCCCACCCTGGTCTAGGCACCCTCTGCCCACCAGGCCGGGCTGTGTCCTGATCCACCAGCACACAGCTGCTCTGAGAATCCTGTCCCCAGTGTGGCCACCCCTCTTGCCTTGATCATACCCCACCCATATCCTGAAGGCTAGCTCAGGAGCCACCCTAGCCACTCTGACCCTCCAAGTCGTTCTCTCTCGAAATGCCCACACCACTCAGAACTTTGAGGGTAGAACCCAGAACCTGAGTATGTACCCTTTTATATTCGTTTTCTCACCCTTTGTGCTAGTTTTGATATCCAACTAAATGGAAACTTTATCAGGAACATGCATCTTACGCTTTATCCATCCCCAACAATGCTGGACCCATACATCCATTCACTGAATAACTATGGTGTAAGTACTCGGTATGTGCCACGTGGTGTTCTAGATGTTACAAAACATAGCAGTAAAAAACAAAATAAAACAAACCCCCAAAACACAGGTCTGCATGGAGCTGACATTCCACGGGGGTGGGGTGGAATGAGGCAGAGTTCTAGGAGACCAGGTTAAAGATGTAACAAGGAGCCAGTCAGCTCAGAGCCTGCAAGCCATGACGAGGAATCTGATTCCTCTCAGTGAAAGGAGGAGCCCTCAGAGGCTTGCAGCAAAGCAGTGATATGCTAGGACTTAATGTTTTTAAATGCTCATTATGGCTATTATAATAAGGAAATAAGGAAGCAGAGACACAGCAGGGAGATGAGTGGAGGAATCGGCAACAATCCAAGTGAGAGGTGGTGGGAGCTTAGACCAGGAGGGGACAGTGGCAATGACAAAGGCTCAGGCTCTGGGTGCATTTTGAATGTAGGAGTGACAGGATTTGCTGATGTAATGGATTTAGGTAACAAAAAAACAAGGGAGTCAATGGTGGCTCAAGGGATTTTGGCCTAAGCAACTCAGAGGGCAGAGTTAGGAGCAAGATGCGAAGCCTGCAGGAAGAACTGATTCAGGGGCCAGGAGAAGGCAAGGGTTTGCCGACAGATACTAGAGAGGGCGCCATACATGTTGATCATTTAACCAGAAAAGTTGGGGTTTATTTGTATTTCATCTTAAAAATCAATGATCCAATTACCCATCTCTACCATCCACAACATGATTATCTACAGTTCTACCTCATGAACTCAAGACTGTGAAGCAAAGAAAGTTCTTTGATTGTGAGGTTAATGAATTCAACCCTTCCAAAGATTTCTCTACACCTTGGGTTCACTTTCTTTGTTTTTAAATGTAGTGGTGGTGGTGGGACAGAAGAGAATCATCACAACCATCTGAGTCATACAAATGCTCCCATAATTGACTACATGTAAAGTCAGGACAGTAAATAAAACAATTTCTTAGTACCTTTCATTTATGCAGCCATGCATTCTTCATCAAGGTTTTATTGAGTGCCTGAGGTATGCAGGCATTACATAGTACATAAAACTATTAAAACTGGATTATTCAATTCAGGGCAAAGTAAGGGTATTTTAACATCTGAAAACAAATCTCTATAAATGGAAGCAGCACATGTTATATATCACCCAGGACCAGGCTGGGACCTGAGCAGGTCACATATCCTCTGTGGACCTCAGTTTTCTCATCTGTAAACTGAGCAGGTTTGCCCTAGTTTCACTTCTGCGGCTCTTACTCATTCTAATATTATATGTCAAGGAAAATAAGCAAGATTTAAAATGTTCTTTTGAAAATAATTCAAATGATAAAAGAAGAGAATGTAGCGCAGTCATGACAAGACAAGTCCAAGATCATTCAAAGAAGTAGACAGTATATATAATGGTCAGACAACCACGAAAACAGTTGTGAAAAAATAGGTTGAAAAATCAGGCGACACCTGTGGCTCAAGGAGTAAGGTGCCGGCCCCATATACTGGAGGTGGCAGGTTCAAACCTGCCCCCCCCCCAAAAAAAAGGCTGAAAAATCAAGAGGGCTTGATCACAAAGATTCTTAGAGATCACGCTAGAATCAAGAACTTTTGTCAGTATGCAGTGGAAAGTCAGTGAAGGTGCATGACCAGAGAAGGGACACAAATACAACTTGATGACAAGATTTGCTCATCAGGACTAAAGCAGAGGGAAGAGAATACACAGGCCAATGCTACGTGGAGCACACGGAGGACAGAACACTGCACTGGGACACGTGGTACCAAAGTAGGAATCGATTCTGCTAAAATTATTTCAAGACTATGCTCAACACAGTGAGAATCTGGGATTAACGGTAGTGTGTGTACATGCACAGGTGGGTATGCATGTGTGCATGTATACATGTACATACATAATAGAGAACTCAGAAAGAATAATTATCCAAAGCTAGAAATAACAATTATAAGCGATTTGCCGACTGTGGAGTTTGATACAAAGTGGAAGACTCAGCACTGACTTAGGTTTCCAGTAGACTAACTGGAAAAACGCTGATACTAGCCACACAAGATCAAAACCTAATCATGCCTGTAATCCTAGCACTCTGGGAGGCCAAGCTGGGTGGATTGCTTGAGGTCAGAAGTTCGAGACCGGCCTGAGCAAGAGTGAGACCCAGTCTCTATTAAAAATAATAAAAAAAAAAAAAACTAGCCAGGTGTTGTAGCGGATGCCTATAGTCCCAACCACTTGGGAGGCTGAGGCAAGACAATCACGTAAGCCTAGGAGCTGGGGTTTGCTGTAAGCAATGACACCATGACACTCTACCAAGGCGACAAAGTGAGACTGTCTCAAAATAAATAAATAAATAAACTAATGCTAGAAAGGATAATAAGGGTGCTCTATGTGTGTGTTTATATGGGTAGATGTTGTATACATACATTGAAACTAGGTTCAAAGAGCCAAGAAATTCTTAGTCTTGGTGAAAAATTTATTCTAATCAAAGAGTTTCCTTGAGTAAGTCTCAGTAGGAAAATGGCTACCTGTCCAAATGTCAAATACAGGTCCAGCTCCAAAGTATTTATTTTTTTTTTCAGTTTTTGGCCAGGGCTGGGTTTGAACCTGCCACCTCCAGCACATCCCGCCCCTACTCCTTTGAGCCACAGGTGCCGCCCCCAAAGTATTTCTAACTGTGCTTCCCTTACATGTAATAAATGCTCATGATTTACCCTGCTGGACACAGGCAGCCTTCCAGGTTCCTTTTACTACGTGAAGTGAATGAGAGAAACATATTTTGAATGACATGTTTATTTTTTAAAATGCACTAGAATGCTTTTACTGTCAATAGTGAAAAGTCATAATAAAGATATATGATAGACCCCCAAGTTTACGATACATTTTCTCTTAGATTTAGCTATTCCAGCTATTTGCTAGAAAGGTCATTACTGTTTCAATTTTAAGCCAAAGCACATAAATGCTATAGGTTGTTATTTTTAAATTAAATAAAGGTTGTTGTCTGCTTGTAAAACAAAGACACGTCAGTGTCTCATTTTCCAAAGTAATCATACTTTATATTTAAATATTTTATAGATTTACTATTACATTTTAATAACCTTCCTCTACTTACAATCATTTGTCATGTAACTTCTTTAAACATAAGAAACATATATTTTTATTTCTTAGAGAAATTATTTTTATAATTACGGTGTACTTTTTAGACACACCTATTTTTTTTTGCAGTTAATTTCCTTTTAAAATTATGGAACTACAAAGCAATTTCATTTTCTTAATTCAAGAATCTATATATATGTTAGATAATTGACATATTCGATTAAAGTAACACTTAGAAGAAAAGTCGTAAATATGAGGACCTCATCTGCTAAATGGAAATTTCCTACTTGATTCTGGGTTTTCAACCCACTGACATGTGGTTTGTGTGATGTAATGAAGTTTTTTCTTTGCAGTTTTTGGCCGGGGCCGGGTTTGAACCCACCACCTCCGGTGTATAGGGCAGGCACCCTACTCCTTTGAGCCACAGGCACCGCCCAGTCTCACCTGTTTTTGATTGCAGGTTTCTTCTCGGTTCTTCAGGGGCCTCAATCGGCTGATCAGCCAGGAAAACTCGAGCCTGGTCGACAGCATTCAGGACAGAATATTCTTTCTCCTTTAACTCCCGTCTCAGTGCCTTTGCAAAGAGAAGCAAAAGTCAAAGTTGTCAAGTTACATGTTCACCAAATAATGGAACATCCCTAATTCGACCATTCTGGTCACCCTGTCACAGGAACCGTGAACAATTAGCTATGTTAGAAGTGAAAATGCGGTATCAATTTTACAGGTAGCAATAATGAAAACCACGAATAAAAGCAAAAAGATGACTCCCATAGAACTTAAATATGAAAAAAGACTTAAAACATTCACCTAAGGGAAAGTGCTACAGTGTAGCATTTGAACTTAGGCAAAATGTCCTTTTAGGTTTTCACTAGAGTGAGTAACATATAATAGCCTGTTCTATGATCTTTTTTTTCTGATAACACTGACGGACAAAAAAATGAGATCCAAAAGCACAGAGGAAGGTAATTTCACAAGTAGTAATGAGATCCTCAGAAGGGTTTTACATCCTTTAGAATACATCGAGAAAAAAAATTAACAGACAGAAACAAATTAAAGTACCTCTATGAAATGAAAGCTAAACCAAAGAGAACGCACATAAAATAGTTTCCAATTATCTTAAAATATGTTCCATCTCTCATGCTGAGGCAATTTCTGTTTTTCCTTTGTGAAGTTTTTCATACAAATCTGTGATTCTCAGAACGGTTTCTCTTTAGCACTTTTCTCCTTTTAAGTGAGGCCCAAGATTCCCCCCCACGCCTCACTCAGCAACCACCAGCCTCACTCGGTGCCCACTGCACCGTAAGAGCAAATGAAGATTTTTCTCCTGGGCCATTTTAATGCCGTTGCTAAATCAAGCGTGTTCATATTGTTATCTTTTTAAAAGTCTACATATAAACACTACTGGCTCGGATACGTTGCTTTCCGTGTTTTATTTTGCTTTTCCCTGGCAACATACCTGAAAACCCAGTTTGTTAGTTTATGGCACTGTAGTAGTATTTCAGAACCAATAACAATCTTTCTTTCTGAACATAAACAATCTTCTAGTAATATTTTACAAAACTATCTTGGGATGACAGAATAATACAGGCTAAATCCTCACCTTTTGCAATTTATAAAAAGTAAAAATAAAAATACCTAGACGTACCAGAATAATCATCCTATGTAAGTATAGGGAGCTAAATATCAGAAGAAGGAAGGGAGGGAGGGAGGGAGGAAGGAAGGAAGGAAGGGAGGAAGGAGGGAGGAAGGGAGAAAGGGAAGGAGGGAAGATGAGAGAAAGAAGGAAAGAACCAGTAGTGAGGTGGTGGAAAGCAATTAAAAGAGGAGGCAAGGAGTAATGACAGATGGAGTGACAAAATGCCTTTTTTGCCTAATACTATAAATACTATTTGACTTTCTAAACTATGTACAACTATGACTTCAATTTTAAAAAATTGAATTAAAAGAATAAAAGGAAACCAATAAAACCACCAAGCTGTGGTTCTGATATAGCAATGGAATGCAGGATATTGATGAAATAAAATTTTCTCTGAAACCTACAGCTATGTTTATGCAACCTTCCTAGTATTGATAAAACCAAAAACTGTGAAGCTAGCCCAAGTCAACAAAATCCCCACAAAACTTAACACTGATGGAGGATTAATGACATGTTAGTGGGGACGGGACAAAACCTCCATCATCTCTTGTTTAAGAGATGCACAAATGGGGTGGCACCTGTGGCGCAAAGGAGTAGGGTACCAGCCCCATATGCTGGAGGTGGCGGGTTCAAACCCAGTCCCGGCCAAAAATTGCAAAAAAAAAAAAAAAAATTAAAAAAGAAAGAAATGCACAAATGATAAATGCTTGGGGGAATGCACACCCCCACACCCCAAATGCCCTGATTTGATTATGACACAGTGTATACTTGTATCAAAACAACACATGTACCTCATAAATAGTAGGCACCCATGAAAATCAAAAATAAAAAGTTTTTAAAAGGAAATTTCCAGGGTATAAGAAGTTGTTCCAGGGTATAACATCCTATAAAGTAAAAAAGATTATCTTCCAACTTTTAAAGCTTCTGACACATGGAAATAAAAGAGACACAAGAGAAATAGGAAAACACACATTTTTTTAATCCAGAAATATATACACACACTTGTAGATCTCGAGCCAATTTTTCTTTTAACTTAAATCATTGTTATTCCAGCACCAAGCTCTAGAGGAATGAATTTATTTCCCAAACCACCTGGAAATATAAAATGATGACACGAATAATCACATTGCTTAAAAAATATAGCAGTGAAAATCAGCGAGTAATACAGCAAAATTATTTTTTAAAACTTTTAGCAGCCGGGAGTATTTATCTCCCTAACCCAAATCTAGCCAGTAAATGCGGGAGTAGTAAAAGATTCTTCAACTGCTATGCAAGAACCCGGCTAGATCTCTTCTTTTGAAAAGGGCAGTCACGGGAACATCACCTATTTAATGTGAGCTAAGGGAGAGAAAGTGAAGGGGCTGGAACACCAAACAGGAGGCTGGATTCACAGACAGTATTTAGAGACAGCACACAAGGCAAACCAGAAAACACCAGCAGAAAATTAGAGTCCGAGAGTTCGTGAGGGCTCTGAAATGCTTCCTGGCAGAGTTGGTGCCTAACCTGAGTCTGGGGAAAGAAAGGTACTCCCAAGAGAGGACACTGAACAGTAGCAGAAGAATAAGGGGGTGTCACTTGTGTCCCCAGAAAACTACAAGCCCTTCAGCACCCAGAGAATGTCCTCACCTAAGGCCCAAGCTGTGGGTGAGGTCTACAGAAAGACCACTGTACGGGATCCAATGCGTCCAGGGCTCAGCCCAGGAAAGGGCGACAGCTGGACACGATGGGTGGGGAGTGGGCATCTGTCAGATTTGTAGTTTTGTTTTTTATAATATTATTGCCAGGTCTCCTAGATTCATAAAAAACAAGTGTATTATTAAAAAGCCCCACATGTCTAGAGAATCTATTTTCCCTTCTGACCACATAAAACTCCAGCACTTCATAAAAGAAAAAAATAAAAAGAAAAGTCCTCTCTGCACAGGGGCTGGCTGGGGAATATCTCCTGAGCTCCTCTGATAGGCCAGCAAAGGAGGCAAGTGCCAGCAAGTGAGAATAAGCCAGGTCGGTGCACATAGAGGGCTCAGGCCACCGTCCAAACACCCTAGACAGCAGTGCACATATGGCAGGGTCTGTTCATGCCTTTTTTGCGTATTTAATTTTGGTATTCAATTTGTCCTATTTCAATTATATTTAATTGCAGTCACAAATGGATTTAACTTTCAACAACATTACACATATAATCATTTCACCACTCTTTTCACCTCCCACTTAGACATAAAAGAAAACCTGTATTTCCCAACCACCTGGGGAACATTAATGATAAGGCAATTAGAACTGCGATGAGTTGTTTTGTATACAGAGCTACAAAGTGGCGCTCAGCTTTAAGTTCTAATATCACATGATATGTGTGTGTGTATACATGTATATAGAGTGTGTGTGTGTATATACCTCTTAAGTGAGTATCACAATCTAATTGGAATTTTTCTATTTTAATGACTTTGTATTTTCATTCAAAACAACTGTTTCCAGACAATAACAAATATTGGTGAAGATGTGAAAAAACAGGAATCCTCATGCATTGTCGGTGGAATGTTGAAAAGGTTTCATTTTGCAGAGCAAAACAGAATAGAGGCCCTCCCAAATCTGTTCATCCTAAATTGAAGTTTTTTTTTTTTTTTTTTGAGACAAAATCTCACTATGTCACCCTGCGTACAGTGCTGTGGCATCACAGCTCACAGCAACCTCAAACTCTTGGGCTTAAGTGATTCTTTTGCCTCAGCCTCTCAAGTAGCTGGGACTATAGGCACCTCCACAACGCCCGGCTATTTTTTGGTTCTAATTCTCATTGTTTGGCAGGACCAGGCTGGATTCAAACCCTCCAGCTCTGGGGTATGTGGCTGGCACCCTAGCCGCTGAGCTACAGGTGCTAAGCCCTAAATTGAAATAATTAATGGATTTCAGTTAGTTCTGAGTTGTTTTAACTTTCTACTTTGCAAATTCCTGTTAATAATTTTTTGATGTAAGGTTAGTTTTCTTCCACTATGTATCAGCTACTCTGTGTTAAAAGTACATCAGTCATCTGTTGGTTTTTATTTTATTAGTAGCAAATATACTTTCCTCTCCCCCTAGATAAGAAAGGAACTGGTCTCTCTGGAGGAGACGGTAATGGGTTCACTCCATCTTTTCACATTTTCTCACATCCTCACCCATGAGGTAGCTCTGTAGGACGTGTTTTAAAACTACTACTACTCATTAGAATTGAATGGTGTATTCATTATCATTACTGTGTATCAAAGCCCATTAAAACTTATTGGCTTAAAAAATTGACAATTTATTTTTCATGATTCTGGGTTGGCAATTTGACTAGCCCTGCCACTGGTACCACCCAGGATTCCCTTTGAGGCTAAAGTCATTTGTAGCTTGAATGGGGCTACGGTCCACAGCGACCTTCAATGCCTGGAAATCCTCACTGCCTCCTGGCTGGGGTGCCTGGGTTTCCCTCTGTGGGTTTCTAATTGCCGTCCAATATGGTAACCACTAGTTACGTTTTTGAGCTGTGGCCGTCAAACTAAGGAACTGAATGTTAACTTTTACCTAATTGTAAGTAATTTAAAGTTAAATATAAACGGTACATGTGGGTGACCATCTCAGCACAACTCTAGAATTTGCACATCTCTTCTGTCACGTTCTGTTCTTTGAAGCAAGTCATGAGATCAGCCAGAGTCAAGAGCATGGAGACGTACACCTTCCTCTTGATGACAGGAGGAAAACCGTCCCTCTGCAGAGGGGCGTGGGCACAGGGAGGCACGATACACTATTATGACAATTTACCGTACGGCATAACGGGGAGAGAGACAGGTGTGGTGAAGCTGGGGCTGACACTGTTGCACACAAGTGGTCAAGAAAGGCATTTCAAAAACAGTGATGTGTGAAAAAGACCCGAGGGAAGTGCAGGAGCAAACCGTGAGAATCTCTGGGGAAGAGAGGATGGGAAGTGC